GGGCTGAGGCTGCCTCTTCTTCCCAGTCTGATTTCCAGCTGGCTCCCAGCATCAGCTCCTCATTGCAGAGCCCTCTCTGAGATACCTGACTTGACAAAAGATGTGCAGCTGCTGCAGGTCCTGGGGGCTCAGTGGGAGCTGTCACTGCTCTCACCCCTCCAGCTGATGCCACTGTCCATGCATGGCATGTGGGGATGCTGCTCCAACGACACCACAGGTGCACAGCATCTCTGGGCACAGTGCTGGGGCAAATTTGTCCTTTGGGCTGGTTTCTGGATGCTGTCTGCATGGTGAGACTGTTGCTGAGTGAATCAGATGGTTCCCCTGGCTGTGCATCTTCCCAGGAGGCAGTAATTTGGGTGAGATGCCCATGTGACTCTCACAGACGTGCCCAGGTGGGTTTATGGGCCTCTTCTGTCTGCATTTCTTTTCTGGTGCTTGCAGTATCCCCCTCTCTGGCCATTCTCTCAGGGTTTTGTGCAATTTTATTTTTCAGTCTCCACCTCCAGAGTTCTGTGTCTCTCCCTTGTCAGCAGTAAGCCTGTGCTAATCACTCTTTCCTAGGAAGGCACTTCAGAATATTTAATGGTTTCTAGAATAAGGATTTCTGGGAAGATCAGGCTCAGTGTGCCAAGTCAGGAGATACCCAATGTTGGCATAGCTACTAGGATACCTTGCTGCTTTGGAAGTTTCCAGCACTTTTTTTGGTTCCCAAACCCACTTCAGTGGCAGCAGGGGCTGGAGCATGTTGCTGTCATGAGGGAAGGAAGGAAGGGAGCTTTTCCAACTCCTTGTTCATAGCACATCCAACAGGAAGACTGTATTTCCCTGGAGTGTTGTTGTGCTGTGATGCTCTGGAGATTGGACAGATTGTCTTGGAGAGGAGTGGGGATGTTTGTGAAGCCCTCAGGTGTGTGCTCATAAAGACACCTGCCAAATTCCCTGTGTTGTGAACTTCAAGTATTGCTGGATTCCAGCTGCAGGGTGTCAGCAGAGCTCTTAGGAAATCTGCATTGGATTCAGCTGTGGAGGTTACCAGCAACTGCACAATTAGTGCTGAGTGCATTTGCTAACTGTGCCATTAAGGAGTGAGCAGTGGACAGATGGAGGAAGGAAGAAGTGCAGGGCTGCTCTGAACACACACCATCCCTCCAGACTCCATCTTACACAGACACACAGGAGAGCCAGAAGCTCTGGGGAAGGTGTTCTTTAACTCATATGGAGGAGGAGGTCAGTCTAAAGAGTTGTACCACTCTTTTCTGAGCTTGAAAATGTTGGTATTCTGCACTTTTTTCTTCATGGGCACAGTGCAGTTTTCCCTTCAGCAAGTCCTAGTAAGAGATTTGGGTTTTTTTTCCTTCTTTGAGGCTGTTAACAGCCAATTAACATTCCCAAACCCTCGCTTGGTTCCATGCAGTTAAATGCACGTTGCCTGCAGCCTCCCTCCCCTTCCCGGGGATCAGGGATCCCTGCAGGTATTCAGATCGAGGCGTTGGCTGATTCAGAGCTTTCCTGAGTGGGAAGTGACAGCTGAATAGCCTAGCATAGCACGGGGACAGCCCCAGCACGGCTGCAGGAGCTCCAGGGCTGCTTTTCCTGAGGCATCCTCGTGGGTGTTTCCATCCCTTCCCCGGGCACAGAGGGACCCCTCTGCCTGCTCTGCCATCAGCACCCTCTCCACGAGCTGCTCTTGTGTGCTAAAACCTCAGGAGCTCAGTTACTGGGCTGTTGAAACCTGCAGAGTTGTTTCACAAACTGATTTTATTAGGGAGGCTGTGTGGCCAGTAGCTGTTGGGCTCCTAAAGCACCTGCACCAGTTGGGTTCTTGTGTGTGCCTGTGGCTGGGCTTGCAGGAGCCCCAGGAAAGGGGAGAAGTGATGCTGAGAGCTGCTGTGCCCCAGGAATCACACCAGGATCTGGCTGTGGGGGGCTTTGGGTGATCCCTGAACCGTCTGAATGCTGAAATCCCCTCTGCAAATCCTCTTTGTATTCCCCTACACTTTCCTGCCTGGCAGCAGGGTGATGAGCAGGGCTGCCTCTGCTTCTCAATCCATCTCCACATGTGCAGTAGCCACAGGATGAGGAGAACACCCTGCAGGCTCTTGTGTCCAGCTTCCCAAGGCAAACACAATGCATGTGACCAAAGGGAAGTGGCAGGGAACAGTGCCAGGCTGTTCTCCATGCTGGGCTGTCCTCCCTGAGTGCAGCCACAGCCAAGCCCCATTCTGGGGATGTTCTCAGTGTGAACAGAGATGTGACTGGCAAAATGTTTGCTTGGGCAAGTAGTGAAAACAGATTGTGCTCCAGTGCAAGTGTGTAGAGCTGGTTCTGGTGCTTCAAATAAGACTTAAGCACAAATTTGATTTAATTTGAGCACCTCTGTTGTCCTTGGCTAGCATCTTCCTCATCAGAACTGTCCAGAGTAGAAAATGAACTTTCATCTCTGTGTAATATTGAAGGAAAACTCTAGGAACAAGGTCTGGTGAAAATGCAGTTGTTAAAAGCTTCTTGGCACAGACAGGACACACCCACGTGGAAGGTGTTCTGGATTTTGTCACTGTTCCTGACCCTCTAAATTACCTTGTTCCTCCATTTTCTAGTGCTCTTTTTTTTTAGCTTCACTTTTCCACTGTTGGTGCATTACCTGCTCCACCCATGGTTTCACCAAATCTGATAAAGACGGCCCCAAATGTTCTACAGGAGCCACAACAGTTCCTGCAGAGCCAGAAGGCACCTGCTGCAAATCCAAGGTGTCCTCATGTGTGGGGATCCCTGGTCAGAATCTGCTGGCTGTGCAAATTCTGCCCAAACAAAGCATTTTTTGAAATCAGCAGTTGAATGGGAAAATGTTGATTTCAGTGAAAATTTTCAGTGGTGTTTTGGGGAGGGGAGGGGACAGACAGCAATGGTTCTTTTATTTTTTTTATAATTTTTTTTTTTTTTTTTGCTGTTGGCTAGTATTTGAAATTGCCTTAGGAAAAAAAAATCAATTAAATACTATTGTATAATATGCAAGTTGAAATGAAATGAAAGGGAAAAGTTGAAACGAAATCTGTTGAGAAGCTGCTTTTTGAAGAAGTTCTGAATTTGCCTTGTAAGAAAAATCAACATTTTATCTGTCCTTGTTGTGATTTGGAACGAAGTCTCCCAGAAACATTGGAATTTCCCACAGAACAGATGTTCAGCCAGTTAATTTGTGCTTCATCATCAAATACTTGAATTTCCAAGACTGTGTGTGTCCCTTCTCAGCTGGAAAGTGGGGAGAGCCAGAGGAGGGAGGCCTCCCAAATCAGAGCTCTTCTCACCAGAGCCATGGGTGTGTGTCCATGCCAGAGGATGAGCTTCCCTAGGGGGCATTCAGGTGGAATCCTGATTGAAAAAGCCTGAGCACACTGTGCCTGAATTAATCTGTGCATTCATTTCTGCAAGGATTTTATGTGGCTGATGGGGAGGAAGGTAAAGGTAACTAGGGCCAAATGCTGGGTTGGTTGGTTGGGTTTTTTCCCCTTGTGCCTGCTGTTAGTGAGTATCTTGCCAGAACAAAAGCTGAGGTGGGTGGTAAGGACTGGTGGTGTCTGGCTCTTACCTTCTGCCTGCCTGGTACCTCATGTGCTCCTAGAGCTGAAAAACAAGGATCAGGCAGTGCCTCCAGGGAGACTGTAGGGCCCCACTGCTGTGGGGAGACAGCTGAATGCAGAAATGTGATGAAGCACACCAGCCTCTTCTCCAGGTGCACGCTGAGGACATGTGTGCTCTCCAGGTGTTTCCCTGCTGCTGGGCTGAGCTCTCTGCACAGGAGGGAATTCTGCTGGGAGCTCTCCTCTCCCAGCTCCCTGTGCAGAACCCCCTGCTCCTTGGCAGCACTCAGATAGCTCCCCTGCCCCTTCATCCTGGGCCAGAATTGCCATCCAGCTGCTGGGCTTTGGCAGCGCAGCCAGCACCTCCTCCAGTGCTGGAGGGAGCTGCCTGAGGCTCTGCAGCGTGGAGAGGAGAACCCAGAGGTCACATTTAGCTGGCACCAGCACCTTGCCCTGGTTTCTGCCTGCTGTGATTGACTGGAGCCTTCACTGCTGCCTCTGGGGGCTCAGAGTGGGGCTGGCTGAACCCCCTGGGTGCCAGACAGGGAGCGTTGTGAGGGGGAGATGTCACGACAAGCTCTATTTATCCAGGCTGTTGCTTGGCAGTGCTGCTCCAAGGTGCATCAACATAATGAGATACATAAAAGGAGAAGGCAGTTAAATGTGCAATAACATCACAATAAAAGTAAAACTGAGCATTAATGAAAACTCTGAGCACACTAAGTGTAGTATCGTCGAGCGCTCCCACCACCTTGGGCCTCGGTGGTCAAACTTAATAATAATTCCTGGCAGTGTCATTACCAGAATTAAATGAGGGTTTAACTGTCTAGAAAAAGATGTTGGGGAAAAAAAAATGGGTCTGGAGACTTCCCAAGTGCTTCTGCTGAGTGGATGTCACCAAGGTGGCAGAGGTAGCAGGTGAGCTGGGACTGCTGCAAGGGGAGCTTGTGGCTGAGCCTGCAGGTGAGGTGGAGGAAGAGCCAGTGTGGTTACTCTGGTGAGGTGGAGGAAGAGCCAGTGTGGTTACTCTGGTGAGGTGGAGGAAGAGCCAGTGTGGTGGCTTTGGTGAGGTGGAGGAAGAGCCAGCGTGGTGGCTTTGTGAGTGAGCTTTGTGAGTGAGCTTTGCACTTGGCTGCTGAAGCACTTGGGGAGCTGCAGGATCTGCTGTGAGGGTTTAATGTGTGTGCCTGCTTGGCTCTGCCATGATGCAGCTTGCCCAGGGCCAGCAGTGCTCCAGCCCACGATGCTGCCTTTGCTTCCTGAGCGTTTCCTGAGATCTCAAATGCAGGACCCCAGAAATACTGGCAGCTGTCCAGCATGAAAAACGGAACTGTTTGCTTTTCCCTAGTGACTGAAACCTCTTTTCTCTCCTGTCATTCCCCTCTGTCCCTCCCTGGCAGGTTTGGAGGCTCGTTTTGCAGTGGCTGCACGCTGCCACCATGGCACCGAGGCTCCCGGGAATGGGGCCCTTCTCCCTCCTCAGCCTTGGAGTCCTGCTCCTGCTCCTGGCTCTCCCTGCTGATGTTAATGGGTAAGGTGCTGAGTGCTGAGCTGTTGGCCAAGGCTGCAGTCCTCTTACTGAACTTAAATATCCCAGGGGCAGGATGTGTATGAAGCGGTCCAGGGCAAAGCACTAAAGGGTCTGTGCTGTGTTTGACCCTCCTGCCCATGTCCCCATCCCCATGCCTTCCACCCAGGGGCTCTTCAGTCCCTAATGTGGCTGACACTGGCATTATTTGAGGTGCTGTCACTGAGATCAGTTGTCAGCAATTTTTTGCAACAAAACCTATTTTCAGATTTGGCCTCTTCACAATTCATTCTGGGCAAGGACTTTGCTTGCCTGAGTTTTAACCTGGAAAAGAGATTCCCCACACCCCATTTAATATTTTAATACTATTTTAAAGAGCAGAAAATCAATCTGCTTCATCTGTTTGGCTGTTAATGGTGTAATGACCCACAGGCAGCACACCTGACCTGCTGCAGCACTGGGGTTCTCTGCCACCCTGGCTGCTCTCCTGTGCCTGGGTGTGCTCTGGCTGTCCTGGCAAGGAGAGTGCTGCTTCCAGCCTCACCTTCCCAGCCTCGGGGAGCTGCCTGGAGGGGATGAAAGCCTTCAGTCCATGACTGCATCCCACCAGGGCCTTTGCTGGGTGAGCTCAGGGAGCCCTTCGAGGGAGGAGGATGGAGATGTGGGGAGGGAGGAGCTTTGCACAGAGAGAGAGAAATAATGCAAATAATACATGACTTCTATAAAACATTTAGAAAAGCCTTTAGAGTGCCAGGTATGGACACTGAAATGCTGCCCGCTGAGTTACAAGTCCAGAAGGGATCAAGGATGTTCATGCATGAAAAGATGTCAGTGCTGCCCCTCCTGCCCTGCTCTGCTTTGTCTGCCTGGATTTGACTTTGCAGCTTGCCCTGCCCTGTGAGTGCTGACCCTGCAAGGGCACAGTCAGCCCTGGCCCCTCACCCCATCCCCACAATGGCTGTGGGGGCTGTCCCCATGCCCTGTGCCTGCAGCTCTGCCCTCCTCTCTGCTGCCTTTTCCTCCCCACCCTGTACCCACCAGAGCTGCTGCTCCCCTGCCACGTAGGGATTGCTCACACTACTGGTCCCCAGGAGGATTTGCTTCCCAAATTGTGTGTGAGGGCACCCCTGTGCTGATGTGGCACAGCTCCCCAGAGAGCCTGTGCACAGGTGGCAAGGTAATGACTTTTCCTCAAGCCTATCCTAATTAAATTTGCTGTCAACCTCCGTCCTTCCTGCCTAGAGGATTTTAATTATTTTAAAACCTTGATCCCGCACATCTCTTTGCAGTCCCTTTATGCCTTGCTAAAGGGCAGCTTTAGCTTTATGTTAAGGTGAGGTGAGGCAGCCCAGAGCTTTCCTGGCAAAGGAATTATTAGCCCAAATCAGGTGCCAGGCAGAGGTGCTGCTGCCTCTCCCCTGCCTGCACCTTCCCTTGTCCTGCCTACGCTGCTCCTCCCCCAGCACCTCCCAAGTGAATCCCACACTGCTCACATTGAAGTCAAACCTCAAATGTCAGGCTAAGTAAAACAGCTTTGAAATTTGTAAACTCATTTTTCCCATCACCGCTGAGCCTCCGCCAGGAGTTCCTTCACAAAAATTCCTCCTCTAGCTCTTTATATTATGGGTAATTTTTAAAGATAGCTTATAAAACATTAATGAATGAGCTTTTCATGAGCATGCTAGCTATTCATAAGTTATAGATGGTTATATACTCATCAGCAGACACTGGGACAGATTGCTTTTAACCATGACATCTATTGAAAGCTGCTACAATTGAAACCCCACTAATTACTGCAGGCATTTGTTAAATTTCTCAAAACTCTTCTTACCTGCAGGGAATTCAAGTTCAGATGAAAAACCAGCATTTGGATTCAGCTGGAAATCTTGGAGGCTGTGATGCAGTTTGTAATGCCAGACATGTTTTGGTGTTTGGATCTGGCAGGTTGCATTAGGGCTGGGTCAGGTGTTATCCCAACCATGCCTCACCCTATGCAAACTGGAATTTCAGCACTGTGTTACCCTCCTGGAGGCTCACCTTCCTGGCTTTACCATTTCTCCAGGTGTTGCTTTGCTAAAAAACAGAGGCCAAGTGGTCCTGGGAGAGGTGGGATGTGCCCCTGGAGAAGCAGACCTCAGGCACTTGAAAGGAAATTTCCCAGAGTGTTTGGTCAATGAAACCAATGAAAATTAATGTCAGAATTGCCCAAAAGGGAATATTCCAATTAACTGTAGCATTCTAAATAGTATTGATTCAGCCTGACTCTAGAAGTACCCATACCCTGCTCTCAATTTTTCCTCTTTTGCTAGGAAATACTCTTTGCACCTCTTTTATCTTACAGAATCTGGGTTTTCTGTTGGGTGAACACTTTGATAGAGAGTTCCAAGCCAGTTCTGGTACTTGTCACTTTACTGACACATGACAGTGTGTTTACAGGTGCACCAACAGTGTCAGGGGTAACCAGTCTGACCAGATGGGATGCAGCAGGATTAAGCTTTGAACTCCTTAAATACCATTCCTTTTCCTGTAGTTTTTTGTTGGTTTTATTATTTTTTCCCCTCAGTTATTTCATGATGCATGCTGAAAGCAGTGACTGCCACACATCAAAGGACATAAGGCTGGAGTGGGAAGGAAAGGGGCAGAAGTGTTAGAAAGTGACAATTAAGGGGCTTTTCTATCCCCAGGATTACATTTCTGATGGTCAAAGGTGCTGTCCTTGGTAATTGGAACCATGATTTGCATGTCCACCAGCTCTGGTCTGTGGCATTCATGGTGTTCCTCTGGCCAGTGCTCCCCAGTTATTCACCTTTCCATTTAGTGCCAATTTGCTAATCAGAGCTTCCCTGCTCCCAAGGGGCTCCTGTAGCTGCTGCTGAGCATCCCTCTGCTTCAGCTGCCTTTTTTCCCCTGCCTGGCTGGGCTTCCTCAGCCACCTCGCTGCCTGTTTGTGCCACTTAATCTTTCTTTTTGCCTCATTTGTCTCTCTGTTATTTCCTCTTCCATCTTCCTTGAAAACTCTTCATCTCTATAGATTTTTCTTTTTGTTTTCTGTTACTTAATCTTCTGCCTTTCCATTTGTTTTGGTCCTAACAGCTATTTTTGCTGGGGAAAGCTGTGCTTGAAGCCACAGCACTGCTGCTCTGTGCCATCTGAAATCTCTTTTAGAGGCAGGTGGTTCCAGAAGGACTCACAATCTCCTTTTCTGTTGATTGAAAGGGAGGCACAAAATGCAAATGTATTACTTGAGCCCCTTGTGTTTGCAAAACCGCATTGAAGATTTTGTTCAGTGAGATGTGCTTTTTTAGAGGAATTTACTCCTTGTTTTATTCCACCTGGGGCAGAATGTGTTCTGAGGAAATCATCTTGTTTGGGGGCTTCCAGGCTTCTTGTGTTGAGCAGAGATGGGAATGTGGAAGCTCATTTGTTTTTATAAGCAGGGAAAAGTTCAGCCAACTTCAGGGATGGTTCACTAAGTGTTTTAATGATGAGGCTTTAAGCCTGTTTACTGAATTCCTATTTTTCTCTCTCCCCTCTTCCCTGGGGCAGAGATCTTTGAAATGGCTCAATCTGCCAAATACCTGGTGTCACTTTTTCTATGTGGCCTGTAAGGAGATAGTGGCACCTCAGCAACTCAGCTTCCCACAGCCTCTGCTCAGAAAATGCCCATTTTTAGGGGCAGGCAAGGGATGCTGGGGCATTCCTGTTAAAACAGGGCTCCTAAACCACTCCCCGTGGTGCAGTGGTGGATCCCTCATGGTGGATCTGGGCAGGGAAAGGTGGGGAGGGCACAGTGAGCAGCTCTGTGAGGACAGAGGGAAGCTGATCAGAAATGCCCTGTGGTGTGTGCAAACACAGGAATTTACCAAAACCTGAGTCCCATCCTGCTCTTTGGGCCCTTTCCTCCCTGTAGCTGGGAAAGGAGGGGAGGGGACAGTGAGGAGAGGGGATCAGAAATCCCTGTGGTGAGTCCTGCAAAGACACAAATTTACCCAAACCTGAGTCCCATCCTGCCTTTCAGGCCCTTCCCTCCCTGTAGCTGGGAAAGGAGGGGTGGGGACAGTGAGGAGATGGGATCAGAAATCCCTGTGTTGAGTCCTGCAATCACACAAATTTACCCAAACCTGAGTCCCATCCTGCCCTTTGGGCCCTTCCCTCCCTGTAGCTCTGGGAAAGAACAATGAGGAGAGGGGATCAGAAATCCCTGTGGTGAGTCCTGCAAAGACACAAATTTACCCAAACCTGAGTCCCATCCTGCCCTTCAGGCCCTTCCTTCCCTGTAGCTCTGGGAAAGAAGGGGAAAGGACAATGAGGAGAGGGGATCAGAAATCCCTGTGGTGAGTCCTGCAAACACATGAATTTACCCAAACCTGAGTCCCATCCTGCCCTTTGGGCCCTTCCCTCCATGTAGCTCTGGGAAAGGAGGGGAAAGGACAGTGAGGAGATGGGACCAGAAATCCCTGTGTTGAGTCCTGCAAACACACAAATTTACCCAAACCTGAGTGCCATCCTGCTCTTTGGGCCCTTCCCTCCCTGTAGCTGGGAAAGAAGGGGAAAGGATAATGAGGAGAGGGGATCAGAAATCCCTGTGGTGAGTCCTGTAAACACAAATTTACCCAAACCTGAGTCCCATCCTGCCCTTCAGGCCCTTCCCTCCATGTAGCTCTGGGAAAGGTGGGGAGGGCACAGTGAGCAGCTCTGTGAGGGCAGATGGGAGCTGAAGTTGATCAGAAATCCCTGTGGTGTGTCCTGTAAACACAAATTTACTAAAACCTGAGTCCCATCCTGCCCTTCGGGCCCTTCCCTCCCTGTAGCTCTGGGAAAGAACAATGAGGAGAGGGGATCAGAAATCCCCGTGTTGAGTCCTGCAATCACACAAATTTACCCAAACCTGAGTCCCATCCTGCCCTTCAGACCCTTCCCTCCCTGTAGCTCTGGGAAAGAAGGGGAAAGGATAATGAGGAGAGGGGATCAGAAATCCCTGTGGTGAGTCGTGCAATCACACAAATTTACCCAAACCTGAGTCCCATCCTGCCCTTCAGGCCCTTCCTTCCCTGTAGCTCTGGGAAAGGAGGGGAGGGGACAGTGAGCAGAGGGGATCAGAAATCCCTGTGGTGAGTCCTGTAAACACAAATTTACCAAAACCTGAGTCCCATCCTGCCCTTCGGGCCCTTCCCTCCCTATAGCTCTGGGAGCACACATGGTGCAGATTTCCCCTCTAACCCTCTCCCCTGCTTTTCCCCCCTGTCCCTGTGCCAGGCTCTCTCAGAAGCACGTCTCAGACGTCGTGGATGACAGCAAGGACAACATCACCATTTTCACGCGCATCCTGGACCGGCTCCTGGACGGCTACGACAACCGCCTGCGGCCCGGCCTCGGAGGTCAGTGATGCTCCCTGCAGGCCTCAGCAGGGCCAGGCAGCTCAGATGGCTTGGGAATGACTCTGGCACTGCCAGGAGCATGGGCTGTTCAGTGCCAGGCTCACTCTGGGGCTGTTTCCCCGTTTTGAAGGTGTTTGGCGACCCCCAGCAAGGGGAGAGAATGATTCATGTGACTCCATCTTATCAAAAGGGAGGCCCAATATGGGCCAACAAGTGCAGTGCTGAAGGCACTGTGTACAAGTTGGCTTCCTTGCAGATCCCACCCTCCCCTCTCCCAGACTTCAGGCTGAGATTGCATGTTACAAGGAGGGACCCTGATCAAGAGGTAGAATATCATCAAGAAAAGATTTATAATTCCTAGGATTTTCTGCTGAGGGAAGTGTGACCGTGTTCAGAGGGGTTCTTGGATGAGGGAAGAGATGAGGATCTGACTCGATGTTTTAGAAGGCTTGATTTATTATTTTATGATATATATTACATTAAAACTATACTAAAAGAATAGAAGAAAAGGTTTCATCAGAAGGCTGGCTAAGAATAGAATCAGAAAGAATGATAACAAAGCTTCTGTCTCGGACAGAGAGTCTGAGCCAGCTGACTGTGATTGGCCATTAATTAGAAACAAACCAACATGGGCCAATCCCAGATGCACCTGTTGCATTCCACAGCAGCAGGTAATCATTGTTTACATTTTGTTCCTGAGGCCTCTCAGCTTCTCAGTAGGAAAAATCATAAGGAAAGGATTTTTCATAACAGATGTCTGTGACAGGGTAGAATTTTGATACTAGTGGAGGCTATAGCAAAATTTTCCTGCCTATCAATGCTGTCTTTTTTGATCCTTTATTTTCCCATGATGTCTTCTCAAAAGTTATTTCTACCTCTATTTGGCTTTTGATATTTGATTATCCAGTGACACCTGTACTGAACACATTTGTTTCATTTCAGATGGTTACTATCAAAAGGCTAATTAATTACTTTATTATGCTGTATTATTCTATAATATATTACATTGTATTACATTACATCTAAACTGGATCTGCCAAGCACTCAACCCTGCACACACTGCACAGAATCTCGTGACTGTCCCCCAACAGTCCCAACACACACACACACCTGGGCCTGACAGGCCAAGGAAACAAAACACCATCACTGTGGGTAAACAATCTCCACATTGCATTCTGCTTTGGCACAAACACAGGCACAGCAAATGATAAGAATTGTTTTGATCATTCTCTGAGGTTCAGAGAATGTGAAACCCAGAAATATTCTTGGGAAGAATTGTGCCTTGCTTTTCTCTGTGAAGAGAAATGTGGGGCTACAGTTTGGCTGTTGGGTGTCTCATGGGCTGAGGTGAGTCTCTGGGTGCTGTGGTGGCCTGTGACAGTGCAAGGACAGGCCTGCAGATGGAGCAGCTGTGGGTGAACCTATTCCTGCGATTTTAGAGACAGGGAAAAAAAAATTCCCTTTCAGAAATGCTGATACATTCATTGAGGGGCAGAGCATGTCCACAGAAAAGGTCTGGACACAACTCTGATGAGGAGCAGCTGGGAGAGCCCAGCCTAGAGAAAAGGGGGGACATTCTCACTTTCTACAGCTCCCTGAAAGAAGCTTGGAGCCAGGTGTGGGTCAGTCTGTTCTCCAAGGAAATAAATGACAGGACAAGAGGAGATGGCCTCAGGTTGCACCAGAGGAGGTTTAGATTAGATGTAAGGAAAAACTTTTCACAGAAAGGGTTGTAAAGCACTGGGAAAGGCTCTCTGGAAAATGGTAGAGCCAGCATCCTGAAAGTGTTGGTGTGGCACCTGAGGGCATGGTTAGTGCTGAACATGGTGGTGATGCTGGCTGCACAGTTGGGCTTGATGACCTTTCCCAACCTGAACCATCCTGTGGCTGTGTACCACCAGCTTGCAGAACCTTCAGCTCATGTTGGTGTTGATTTTAGTCAGTTTGCTTTGCTACAGAGCCTCTATCTCCACATCTTCTCAGTTATTTCCTATGCAGCTGTCACCTGGCAAGCTCTCCCCCCTTGTGCTGCTCTGGGCACTGGGCACTCACCCAGGCCCTGCTGCCTCCTGAGCTGCCTTCAGCACTGCTGCCAACATTGCTGCTGCTGCAGAGCCTCTCTGCAAGCTCCTGCACTTGTCTGAGGTGCCTGAGAAGGAAAAACCAAGGAAAAACCTTCCCACCTAATGCCTACAGCTACAGTCAGCATCATCTAAGGGGGCAGAAGAAACAGGGAGATGTGTGGGGAAGACAGGTGTGAGATTAGGGAGATGTGGGCATGAGTGGTTTCCTGGTGTGCTGTGCTGTGGCAGAGGTGGCCCCTCTCAGGTGCTGACAGCTGAGTGTCCCTGGGGCTGGGAGGGGATGTCCCTGCACTGCCCTGAGCTCTCCTGCTCACCAAAGCTGTGCTGCTGCTGGTGATTCCCACCCAGAGCTGGAGTCACCACGTGCTGTCCCATTTTCTGCAGTCCTGCTGCCAAGAGCTGCTTTGCTGAGCTCTTGCATGCTGATGGCATCTCCTGGAATGTCCCTTTCCTTCCCCAGAGCAGCCCTGCCTCTCCCAGCCCCATGCCCAGCTCTGTGCCACAGCCCTGTGCCCTGCAGCTGCCCTTGAGACTGTGCCAACCCTGGGCAGGAGGGGCTTTCCCAGCCAGCATCCTCCCCTCTGCTGTGCTGCAGGACCCGGCCAGGAAAGGGTTACAGTGCCTGCATAAGCAATCTGTCAGTTTTATTGCTTTTGTTGCTTGTTTCTTTCCCCCAGAATTAACTCTGGTCCCACTAATAGCTTTGCTTCCTCCAGTCTCCCCCATGGCTGTATTGATTTCAGTGAAACGAGTTCTGCACGGGGACTGAGGGGCATTTCTGCTCACTGTAGGCTCAGCTGCAGACAAGGCTGCTCAGTATTAACAAGAGGAGTCCCAAGAGCCCCTTGCTGGGGAAGTTCAAACCTTTCTTGGAACATCTTTGCTCTGTTGCTTTAGATCCTTTAATAACGTGTTTAACATAATAAATTGCCTTTGCCTGAGCCAGCCCTTGTCTGTTTAAGGACTGCTCTCACCTCCTTGCTGGGGCTCCCTGCAGAGCCTCCTTTATGCACCTGCAGCTTCCCTGGAGCTCCTGAGAGCAGGAGAGGGGAGATGTGGCCAGGAGAAGGAGGTGGAACTGCCTGAGCAAGGCTGAGATGTCCTGTGCCCCAAAAGAAGAGATGCTCAAGTAGTGGGATGCAGATGAAGGGACCACAAGAGACTCTTTGTGAATGACAGAGACTTGAGGCACTCTGGTAGACCCAAGTGGGAGGTGGTGATGAGAGCTGCAGGTTTTGGGGGGCTCTTGACTGGCAGTGAGTTGCCCTCTGTGTGTAGAGCAGCCTGGTAAGCCAGGCTCTCCCAGTTTTGGTTGTTTTTCCCAAGGCTGAAGCCTTGGAGGCCTCTCAGGAGGAGAATTAGAGGGAAAGACCTCTCCTCCCACTGCTGCTGGTGGCCAGAGAAGCAGAAATGGTCCTGCTGCAGACTCCAGAGCTTAGGGTTAATGGAAGAGCCAGCAAGATTAGGGCTCTTTTATCTTACAGAATCTGGGTTTTCTGTGGGGTGAACACTTTGATAGAGAGCTCCAAGCCAGCTCTGGTACTTGCCACCTTGCTGACACTTGTCAGTGTGTTTACAGGTGCACCAGCAGTGTCAGGGGTAACCAGTCTGACCAGATGGGATGCAGCAGGATTAAGCTTTGGACTCTTTAAATAATATTCCTTTTCCTGTAGTTTTTTGTCCAGGGCTGTGTGAGGGCTGGGAAAGGGATTGCCTTGCTCCCCATGAGCAGCTGTGCTGCAGTGGGACTGGGCCATGGACAAGGAACATTGGTTTTCCTGTAAGACAGCACTGGGCACTCCCTGTAGTCTCCCCATTTCCCTTGGGAATGTTTTCCTTTGCTTTTCTGAAGATGTCAGGGAAGGGCATCCATACCCTGCAGTCCATGCAAAGGGCAGATGTGGTGCTCTTGTGCCCACACAGGCTGCTGGGAGGATGGAGTTCCCTGGATTGTGTGTAACCTGTGTGAAGCAGGACATGCAGGCTCTTTGCCTGGCTGGTTTTCCTGCTCTGGATGAGGTGGCCCTGCAGACATTTGGGACACGGGGGGCTGGGCAGGGTTTGGGGCTGCAGCACCTCTCAGGGCTCTGCAGTGCTGTGTGCTCAGCCCTGTCCCCTCCCTCAGCTCCCTGTGCACCAGGAGCTGAGCAGTGTTTGTTTAGACTTTGGGAGAAGACACTGTGTAAGCAACAGAGTGTTAATGTGGTGACTTCTCCCCTCAAGATAGCCTCTTTGTATTTATTTTCTTATCCCCTCTGCTTTCACCATCTGCTGCCACCCACTCTAATAGCTGCCATGCCAGAGCTCCTCTTGCTGCCAGGATGCTGCAGGCAGAGCTGAAGCAAGTGCTGAGGCTGCTCAGGAGTGGCTGCTGCTGCTGCAGAGCCAGGCTCCAGGTGAGCATGGCCCTGCCTGCTGCCCCTGCCCCAAACAGGGCACAGCCAGGCCAGCCAGGAGTCTGTGCTCTCCTGGGGCAAGGGGCAGATTTGGGAGCACACTTAGGGCAGGGGAAGGTGGCTGTCAGACCCCTTGTCCTGCAGCCCTGGGGACGGGACCATTTGTGTCACAGTGTCAGGCAGGAGGTTTCTCCCTGGCTCTGCCCACAGGATTCCTCTCAGGAACAGAGCAGAGTCTTTTCTGTGGCCTCATGGCCACTGAAGGACAATCTGGGCTCAGGGAAGGGGTAGCTGCATAAACAGAACATCTTCTAGGGCTCAGAGTGGGGCAGGAGAGGAAGGAGCTGTCAGCACAAAGGCTGTGTTTCCCCTGGGAGAACTGGGGACAGATTGGTTATTAAGCCAGGAGAGAGCAGTGATGGACCCCGAGGGAATGGAGACATCTGCTGTCATGGCCAGCCTTGCAGGACCAGAAAATGTCCTGAGAGAGCTTCTGTGGGCAGTACGGGCCTCTGCTCGT